CCTGCCACCTCGCCCGGCTAGTTTTTTTGTATTTTTTTAGTAGAGACGGGGTTTCACCGTGTTAGCCAGGATGGTCTCGATCTCCTGACCTCGTGATTCGCCCGTCTCAGCCTCCCAAAGTGCTGGGATTACAGGCTTGAGCCACCGCGCCCGGCCTACACTAATTATTTTTAAAAATTGTTAAATTGTGATTTTAAAATGCATAACATAAAATTTACCATGTTAACCATTTTCAAGCATACACTTGAGCAGCATTAAGTCTGTTCACATTGTTGTGCAGCAGAATCTCCACAACTTTGTCATTTTGCAAAACTGAGACTCTGTGGCCATCAAACAGCAATTCTCCATCTCCCTTTTCTCCCAGCCCCTGGCAACCAACATTCTACTTTCTGTTTTTTATGAACTTGATGACTTAGGATACCTCATATAAGTGGAATTTTACAGCATTTATCCATTTGTCTCTGGCTTAGTTCACTTAGCATAATGTCCTCAAGGTTCATCCCTGTTATAACGAGCCAGAATTTCCTTTTTTATGGCTAAATAATATTCCATTGTATAGTGTATACCACATTTTCTTTCTTTATTCATCTGTTAATGGACATTTGGGTTTTTCTGCCCTTTGACTGTTGTGAATCATGCTACTATGAACATGGGTGTGTAAATATCTCTGAGATCCAGCATTCAAATCTTTTGGATATGTATACCCAGCATTAGAATACCTGGATCTACCCTGATTACTTTCAAATGTTACACCGACCTTGCATTCCTGGAATAAATTCAATGACATATTATTCCTTTTAAATATAGCTGAATTCAATTTGCTAACATTTTGTTTAGGATTTTTTGGCCTTATATTCTTGAGTAAAATTGGCATGGAATGTCCTTTTTTTGTTTTATCCTTGTTATATTTTGGTATCAAAATATGCTACGAATTAGGGAATGTTTTCTCTTTTCCTATTTTTTGAGACATTTTGGTTACATTAGACTTATTTTTTTATTTAAAGATTTTGTGGAATTCACTAGTGAAATCCTCTGGATCTGGCTGTTTCTTTAAGGGAAGGTTTTTAATTACTAATTCAATTTATTTAATTATAGAACTACTAGGGCTTTCTATTTCTTATGTGTTGGTTTCATCAAATTGTATTTTTCTAGGATTTATTTCCTAGAAATGTTCTAGGAATCAATTTTATCTAAGTTATTAAGTGTATTAGCATAAAGTTATTTTTAATGTCCTGATGATCCTTCATTGTCTGTACGTAGTAAGTTCCCCACTTTTAATTCTTGATGTTGGTTATTTTCTTCTTTCTTTTTTTGTCTCAATCAGCTTCACTGGTTATTAGTCACTAGTTTTTCCAACAGTCAGGTTTTAACTTGTTCAGGGTCCTCCAAAAAGCATTTAATTGTCTCCAATGTATTTTTTTTATTTTATTAATTTCTACATTTATCTTTGTTATTACTTTCTTTCCTAAATTACTGAGATGGGTGCCTACTTCACTTACTTTTCAACCTTTTTTCTTTTGTAATATATTTATTGAAGGCTATAAATTTTCCTCCAAGTACTGCTTTAGCTGTATCCCACTGTTTGATAATTGTTCAGTTAAAAAATATTTTCTAATTCCCATTTTGATTCTTATTTGCCCTAGGGATTCCTTGGAATTATGTTTCTTAATTTGCAGATATGAAGGCGTTCCTTCTGGCTATCTATTTGTTATTAATTGCACTGTGGTCAGAAAATATACTCTGGTGATTTCAATCCTTTGATTTTTTGAGAAGTTACTTTATTGCCCTGTGTATGGTCAATTTTATCAATGTTGCATGTGTTCTTGGAAAGACTGTAGAGTTTGCAGGCTGTTCTCTACATGCCATTATATCATTGTGTTCTTCAGATCTCCATAGGTATACATTTTAGTTTATTGGATTTCAAATGGCTCGAGAGAAGTGTGTAAACATTCCTGGCTATTATTCTGGATTTGTCTGTGTTTCCCTATAATCCTGTCACCATTTGTTTTGTATATTTTGAACCCCATATCTAGTCTGTTTTATCTGATATATGTATACACATGACTTTTCTTTCTGTACTCATTTGATGGTGAAGCTTATTCATACTTTACTTTCAGCCTTCTGAATCCTTATGTTTGCCAGTACCTCTGGTTAGCCACATGCAGTCATATTTAGTTTTTTTCATCAGCCTGACAGTCTTTATCTATTGGTGCATTTAGACCATCTACAGTCGTATAATTACTAATGTTTAGGGGTTTATTTTTACTCTCTTATTTTGAGGAGATGTTATCTGGCTGCCTGGGTTTTTCTTTATTTAAAAGTAGTAAGCCCTGTTGTTTTTGTCTGTTAGTTCTCAGAGCTTTATTTCTATTTCTTTGTGGGCTGGGTCTTCTGGTTCTCATTCATGGTATCTTATTTCCTTGTATTTTTTATTTTTGTTGACGTATGCTGACATTAAATATGAAAAATGAAGTGTAGGCATAACTGGAGGCCTTGGCAATATCTTATTTGCCTTTGCTGGGCACATGTGGGCTCAGGATCATCTTAATCTGCATTCCAGGCAGGAAGTTCCCAGGACCACCTCCATGATAGGAAGCAGGGGCCTGACTGGCATCTGGCTTCCGTTTTCTCTGAGGGTAGAGACCTTGGCCTACATCGGGAGGTGGTCAACCAGAGCCCCCACCCTTGGCAGAACCCGCACTGTTCCTGGCCTGCCTGGTCCCCTGAGGCTGCTGGAGGACAGTGTTCTTCTGGCATCAGCCCAGGCTCAGGGCAAGGGCAGTTCTGAGTGCTGGGCTCCCCCACCACCCCCCGACCCCCCAGGCTTTCCTTTTCCCCTGAGTGTGGCCGGATCACTCCTCCCTGACTTCTGTGTTACCTTATGGAGGCTGTTGGCAGGTGACTTTTACAGAGAATCCGTGTTTCATGTCCTTGGGCAGTGGGTTGGTTTGACCCGCCTGGTTCTCTCCTCCCTGGAGTAGTGGATCCGTCTGCTCACCTGCCTTTCCACTGCTGTGGCCTCTGCACAGACTTCCGGACAGAGTTCCGTCTGTCACCACCCACCCTCTGCTGACAATCCAGCGGCGATGGGGTCCATTACTCTGGGGGAGATGTTCCCTTCCTCCTCCCCATGGCTCTGTTCCTGTCAGGGCCATGCCCTCTCTCCCCAGCACCATCTGGGGCCAGGTCTGATACCTGTCCCCCTTCCTCTACCGTGACACCCCTCATACTCCTGCAGACCCCGTAACTCCCCTCCTCCGCATCCTGGCCTCCTCTTCCCAGCAACAGCCCCTTGGGGACGCTCTGCCTGCACCCACCCACACACCCACCGCGTCCTGGCAGACTTTTGCCATTCCCCCAGCCCAGAGCCTCTGGGAGCAGTGCCTCTCCCAGGGACTGGCTTCAGCAACCGGCCCCAGCCTTCCCAGCCCCAGCCTCCTTGCACATCTGACAAATGCTTCCTGCTTCCTCAGCCACACCAGCCACTGGCTCAGCCCTTCTGGTCCTCCAAGAGCCTTCAGGCGTTATCTAGTTCAAGCCTCCCAGCAGGCCCCCAGGAAGGGGTGTGCGCACACCTGATTTTGTGTGGCCCCACAAGCTCAAAATAGTTCTCCCCTTTTTAAATGGGGAAAAAGCAAAAGAATCACATCTCATGACACATGAAACTCATCTGAAGTTAAAAGTGTCCACAAATAAAGCCTCGTGTGCACCCGGCCATGCTATGGGTGGCAGCTTTCACACCACAACCAGGGTTGCGTATTTGTGCCAGAGCCGGTGGCCCCTGGCCTGAGCTGCTTACTCTCTGGAGGGTAGCGCGGCACCCAGGAAGGCAGGCAGTGTGCGAGCAGACACCCGAGTCCACGGCTTAGAGGCACAGGGTCATTATCCTCAGGCACTACAAGCCCGTGGCCCTGTGGTTCTGCAGCAGGTCTTGTGGATCTGCAGGGCTTCCAGGACGCAGGGCTCTTTCCATCTTCATGTCCACCTTCCTCTGGTGGTGCCGTGGCCTCTTCAGGCTGTGGCCACCTTGGAGGCCATGGAACTCAGGGCAGAGGAAGGAGGGGAAGGGAAGCCCTCCAGAGAAGAATTTCCCCAGGACGAGGCACTCACCCTTGAGGTCTCGAGCTGACCTGCTAGCTGCACAGCTGGGTGTCGGTAGGGGCCAGGGACGAGGAAGGCTGGTGGTGTCGGCCATAGATCAGTGCAGCTGTCCCTACTTTACAGACAGGCCCAGTTAGCTGGCCAAGTTCTCTGACCAGCAAGTCACAGAGCCAGATGAGCTCAAGGCCACTGGACTTCGCTGCCAGGCCCCCTGCCACGCACGACAGCGTCACGTTGTGTTTACTCACGGCAGGCACACGCGCCGCTCCACATGCATGCTGAACCTGTATTTATCTGTAGAGAATGAACACTAATTGCACCTTTTATAGGTGAGGCACCTGCAGTCCAGAGAGGAGCTGAAATTTCCTTTGGGGTCTCACAACTTTTTTGAGATGGAGTTTCACTCTTGTTGCCCAGGCTGGAGTGCAGTGGTGCCATCTTGGTTCACTGCAACTTCTGCCTCCCGGCTTCAAGCAGTTCTCCTGCCTCAGCCTCCTGAGTAGCTGGGATTAGAGGCACCTGCCACCACACCTGGCTAATTTTTTGTATTTAGTAGAAACAGAGTTTCACCATGTTGGTCAGGCTGGTCTGGAACTCCTGACCTCAGGTGATCCACCTGCCTTGGCCTCAAGTGCTGGGATTACAAGCGTGAGCCACCGTGCCTGGCCAAGGGTCTCACAACTTCTTACTTAGTTCAATTCAGTGTCACCCAAAGATGCTGAGGCCCAGCTGGTCTATCTCAGAGATACGTTTGCGTCAAAGGCACAGTTTTGTGAACACGGCATTCGCCTCACTCAAGTTCGTTTTTGTGTTTCCCTAGTACCACCAAAGAGACACAGAAATATTTGTAGAATAAATACATACAGAATAAAGTACAGAATTCATTATTGAGGTCCCCTGACCCTCTCCCATCTGAATCCTTCACAGGCCCAGATGTCCTCCAGCCTTCCAGTCCTGTGGACTCCCTCCCCAGCTTTCTTCCCTCCCCTCTTCCTCCCCATTCCCATCACAAGAGCCCATCAGGTACAAGGAGTCAGGAGGGCCCTGGCCCCAGGTTGGCTGGGTAGGAGCATGCAGTGTGGCTGGCAAAGGTGGTGAGCAGCCTTGGTCAGGCATGAGCTGGTACTCCAGGTGCCAGGGTGGAACCTCGTGGGGCCAGGAGGATGGTCCTATGGAGAGTGCGGCTGTGGTGGGAGGTGGCCCTGAGTCCCCGGGGCGGGGGCCGGTTGCTTGTCTCTCTGAGCCTTGTTTGTTCACATGCGTTGATCCACATCTCCAAGGGTGGCAAACATGGAAACTGGTTCTGCATTTAATGCCTAGGACATGGCAGCTGTGAGGGGTCTGGACGGGGCACCCTGATGCCTGTCAACTCAGCACTGCTTCATATGCAGTGCCTGGTACTGTCTGTGCCAAGACAGGGTGGCTGTGGGATGAGGCTTGGGTGCTCCTAGGCAGGTCTCTGGAACCCCACGGCCCAGATTCAAGCCCTGCCCCTGCTGGGAAGGGCACCAGGGCAGCCTGTGCCATGGGGCCAGGGGAGCGGCCTGCACAGGGCCAGCCCATGGGCACCTGGTGAGTGTCGTGGTGGGTCACACGTGTACCCTCCTCACTGCAGTGCTGCCAGACCCTAGTCTCCCACCACGTGGACCCCTCCCTGCGGGATGAAGATGGTTACACGGCGGCGGACCTGGCGGAGTACCACGGACACCGGGACTGTGCCCAGTACCTGCGGGAGGTGGCCCAGCCGGTAAGGCTCAGGGTCCCCAGCTGCCCTGGAGGCATGGAGGGTGGGCCCAGATCCCAGCCAGGACCCCACTGCTGAACCTGCAGCATAGTCAGCTGGGAAGCTCACCATATCCAACTCATACATGGCATTGGAGCCAGGAGCAAGGGCCTGGGCAGGACTGAGGTGCCACAGGGCAGCCAGTGCTAGGGTCAGGCTGTGACAGGAGCTGTGACAGGGGCCAGGACAGGGGCTGTGATGGGTGGGGCCAGGGCTGTGACAAGGACAGGGGCTGTAACGGGGATCAGGAGAGAGGGCATGTGACAGGGCCTGGGGCCATGGCTGTGGCCAGGGCCCGGCCTGGGCTTGTGGCTGGAACTTGGCGAGGTCATGCCATTCGTCTGGGTCACAGAGACCACACCTGTGATTCAAGAGCCTCCGTGGCCAGGGTTCCTCGTGGGTGATGTACGTCAGACTGAGGAGCCCCAGGAGTGGGAGCAGAACCTCCCGGAGGTGACCACAAGGCAGCCAACAGCCCTGCAGCAGCCGGAAGGCAGCAGATTCCAGCCCTGGCTCTTGTCCCTCAGCCTGGGACCCCACAGCCTCTCATTTCCCCATTTGTAAGGACAGGGATCTTGTCTGTCCCACTAGTCCCCAGCCCTTAGCACATGACAGGGCTCAACAAGTGTTTACTGAATGAACAAATGAGCAAATGGACAGAAAAGCAGGTGGATGCATGAGGGTGAACAGAGGAAGGGATGGATGGGGAGGGAACAAACAGAGGAGGAATGGATGGGGCAGGGAGGCCAAAGGAGTGAGAAATGAGGAGAGGGCTACATGAAGGGGGGAGAGCTCAGGAGGGCGGACGGAGAAGAGATGGGTGGAAGAGGAGTGGACGAAGAAGGGTGGAAGGAGGAGGGTGGATGGAGGAGAGATGGACAGAGGAGGGTGGATGGAGGAGGAATGGGTGGAGGAGGAAGGGATAGAGGAGGGTGAATGGAGGAGGAATGGATGGAAAAGGATGGATGGAGAGTGGATGGAGGAGGGTGGATGGAGGAGGAATGGATGGAGGAATGGATGGAGGAGGGTGGATGGAGGAGGAATGGATGGAGGAGGGTGGATGGAGGAGGTGGATGGAGGAGGGTGGATGGAAGAGGGTGGACGGAGGAGGGTGGATGATGGAGGAATGGATGGAGGAGGTGGATGGAAGAGAGTGGATGGAGGAGGGAAAATGGAGGAAGGTGGACGGAGGAGGCTGGATGGAGGAGGGTGCATGGAAGAGGGTGGATGGAGGAGAGTGGTTGGAGGAGGGTGGGTGGAGGAGGGTGGGTGGAGGAGGGGAGATGGATGAGGGGGGATGGAGGAGGAAGGGATGGAGGAGGGTGGATGGAGGAAGAATGGATGGAGGAGGGTGGTTGGAGGAGGGTGGATGGAGAACGGTGGATGTAGGAAGGTGGATGGAAGAGGGTGGATGGAGGAGGATGGATGGAGGAGAAATGGATGAAGGAGTTGGATGGAGGAGTTGGATGGAGGAGGGGAGATGGAGGGTGGGTGGATAAAGGAGGAATGGACAGAAGAGAAATGGATGGAGGAGGGTGGATGAAGGATGGAGATGGGAGCTGGGTGGATAGAGGAGTTGGATGGAGGAGGGTAGATGGAGGAGTTGGATGGGGGAGGTGGATGGAGGAGATAGATGGAGGAGGTGGATGGAGGAGGAATGGATGAAGGAGTTGGATGGCGGAGGAATGAATGGAAGAGGATGGATGGAGGAGGGTGAATGGAGGAGGAATGAATGGAAGAGGATGGATGGAGGAGGGTAAATGGAGGAGGAATGAATGGAAGAGGGTGGATGGAGGAGGGTGGATGGAGGAGGGTGGATGGAGGAGGGTGGATGGAAGAGGATGGATGGAGGAGAAATGGATGAAGGAGCTGGATGGAGGAGTTGGATGGAGGAGGGGAGATGGAGGAGGGTGGATGGAGGAGGAATGGACAGAAGAGGAATGGAGGAGGGAGGAGAGTGGATGAAGGCTGGAGATGGGAGCTGGGTGGATGGAGGAGGGTGGATGGAGGAGGGTGGATGAAGGATGGAGACAGGAGCTGGGTGGGTGGAGGAGGGTGGATGGGGGCAAATGAATGAAGGAGGCAGTGGGAGAGGGTGCTTTGGCATCCACATTGGCGTCAGGTCACCCCCATGTGCTCCCACCCAACCTTCCCTCTCTATTCCAGGCCCAGGGCAGTTACTGTGACAAATTCATCTAACCTGCCTCAGTTTCCATCACACTTCTTTTAGTGACCACCCCTTCAGAAAGGTGTTCTGAAATCACCTGACCCTTCTTTTTGGGTGAGGGGACTGAGGCCCAGAAGGTGTCATTGCCCTCCACCCCCTAAACCCCTTGTCTCCCCAAGGGGTTGCTGGCCTCTTCTCTGATGTGTCCTCTCAGAGCATCTGGGGCCAACTGGGGCAGAGCCACAGTCCCCCCCACCCCCCAGCCCCTGGGGCCTGCCGGACACTTGTCACACTGCCACCACCGGGGCCTCTGTTAGCACTGGTGGAAACCCACACCAGTCCTGCCGAGCTGCGCAGGTGGCTCAGGTGGCCTCCAGAGAGCACGGCTCTGCCCTGGTTTTGCCCCGGTGCAGCAGTTTCAGGAAGCAGAATTCAGTCACTGCTGGAAGTCATGTATTTACTAAATGGTGTGCTTGCTAGACGTCCAACGGGTCCTGGTTCAGCAGAAGGCTGTCTTTCTGGCTTGGCTTGAGAAGGTGGTGGTGCTCTGCTGGCTTCTCCACAGAAGGCGGGGCTCCACGGCCCGCAGCCCAGGAGTGCCGACTGCCTGGGTCTCCCGACTGCCTGGGTCTCCCACAGCTCCTTCAAGGCCGCTGGGTCGGCCTCGGCCTCTTTTGGGCCCATCCCTACACTTCCTGCCTAGATGGCAGCCAAGATTAGGCGATGGGGAGGGCAGCTGCTCTGCTGGTGTCCCAGCCTCCACAAGCCCCTGGCACAAGGGAACAGCCCCGCCCAACCTCCTGGGAGTCTCTGACACTGTTCCTGCCCAGCCATTCTGGGGCCCCATGCGTGGGCTTCCTGTCCAAGCAGCACCTCTGCCTTCTGTCCCCAGACCCCGTGGTAGTGGAGGACGGGTTGCGTTAGGCTCGCCATGTCCTTCCCATCCACAGTCCCCTCCTGCCTGCGCCTGGGTGCCCCCTGCCCAGCACATGAAAACCCAACCCTGCCACCTTCCCGACTCCTCGGTGTGCAGCTTCAGGAGCCGGTTTGGGAGCTCGGGGTCGGGACTGGAGCATGTCTCTGTCTTCAGCCTCTGGGAGGGTCTGGTGACAGCAGGGGGTGCTCATCTCTCATCACCGGAGCTGTCTCCCCTCCCGGCCTCTGAGGGAGAGCAGGCTGTCAGCTGTGGGCCGGGGGAGGCCATGTGCCTGCTGCAATATTGATGGGAATGCAATCCGCAGGGGCTGCTCGCACTGGCCGCCTCCGAGCTGGCCTCAGAAGAGGTGGTGAAATCCATCGTCTTCCCCATGACAACACAGCGTGTCTCCGCCCCCAGGGAACTCGTGCATTCCAAGAGCAACAGCAGCTTGGGGAGCAATGCTGGACAGCAGTGCTGAGACCTGCCCTGTGGGAGGTGCCCCCTCGTGCCTCCTTTGTGTCGGGTCTGTGGGGCCTGCCCAGCTTGGGGTCTGCTCAGGGTGCTAGGGACGGCCAGCCCTGCCCCTCCCTGGGCCTTGGGGACCCCTCTCCACGCAATGAGAGATGGGGTCTTGAAGTCCTGGGGCTGCCCTCAAGGCAGGCCCCCTCCCCTCTGCTAGCCAAGCAACTGGGATCCTGGCTGTGGGGCTCTGAGCGCCCTGTCTGGGCAGGGACGGCGCATAGAACCCTCCATGCTTGGAGAAGAGCCTCTGGCACCTCCCGTGGTGTCCAGGGCTGTCCCACTCACCCCCACCTGCCAGCACTGCGCTGCCCTTCCTGGGCATGGGGCGCGGGCAAGTTCTGAGCATCTCTAAACCCCAATTTTCTCACCACAGGGTCTCTCTCTGTCACCCAGGCTGGAGTGCAGTGGCACAGTCTCAGCTCACTGCACCCTCAGCCTTCCAGGCTCCAGTGATCCTCCCACCCCAGCCTCCCAAGTAGCTGGAACTACAGGCACATGCCACCACACCCAGCTAAGTTTTGTATTCTTTGTAGAAATGGGGTCTGGCCATGTTGGCCAGGCTGGTCTTGAGCTCCTGGGCTCTAGTGATCCTCCCACCTCTGCCTCCCAAAGTGCTGGGACTACAGGCGTGAGCCACTGCAGCCGACCCAGAGCCTTGTTTTTTGGGTAAAGGAGAAGCTCCTCGAGCACCCAGTGAGGCGCCTGCGCTGGTGGGCTCTCGGGACAGGTGTGCTCTCCCCTCTTCGGTCCAGAAAGGTACTGAGACATCTTTATTTTATATACGAGGAAACTGAGGCCCAGAGAAGGTGAGAGGCTTCCTGGGCACTCTCCTCCTGCTGGGAAGGGTGGTACCCGCCCAGTCAGTAATGGAATCTCAGCCATGGCAACTGCTGTCCGGCACCCATCCGTGGGCCGTGATTCTCTCTGCCCAGGTGGCATTACAGGCCTGTGACCTGGCTCACCACGATGCTCTCCATGTATAATGCATGGAGCCTCCGCGGTGCTCAAATCTCACCAAAAACCAGGGACAGGGACAGCGGGCTGGGCCGTGGGGCCACATGACCACCAACCTCAGGGCAACTGTCCAGTGCTGGGATTTGGGGCAGCACGTGTCTAACTGTTAAAACCCCAAGGGACGGGACTCCCACGTCTGTGCCTCCAGATCCCTGAGGCTCCACTGTGTCCAGGGCCTTCCTGTGGGAGGCAGGGGTGTGGTTACTCCCGTTGCCGGGTAAACGCCACAGCCAGGCTTCTCATCCCTGTTAAAACCCAGAGACCATCCTAATACCGATGGTGGCAGCAGCGTGGAGGTCTGAATGCCACCGTCATGCAGGCCCCTGCCAGGTGCTCTCCATAGTCCCGCAACTTTCCAAGAACCCTGATTTATAGGCAAAGAAATGGAGGCTCAGGGGGTGGCGTCCTGGGGCTTCTCGCTGGTGAGGAGTGGAGCAGGGCTGGGCCACAGGGACCTCGAGTAAGGTCCCCCAATCCACAGGTGCTGTGCTGGGGCCAGAGCCCGGTAGTCGCCTGAGCCCCGAACTAACTTCCACCTCTTTTGTCTTCCCCAGCACAAGAGGGCCGCTGCCATCCTGCCAAGCCCCTCATTCTGCCAGGGGTGGCCCCTCCCCACGGACAGCAGGTTTGATCTCAGGGAGGGGGCTCAGGGCTCCCAGGCAAGGGCAGAGAGTAGGCGAGAGGCACCATCCCACTCCTGGCTCAGTCCTCGCTGGGCAGGGGACAGTGCAAGGGCATTGGGGTGGCCTTGCTGTTGAGGGCCCACTCGAGGCAGGGCTTAGCCACCTCTGTTGGTGGTACCACTTGTGTCCAGCTTTTCTGGCCGTGTCTGGTCTGGAGTCTGACTGCCCTGCTTGAAACAGCGAAGCCAGCCTCTCACTATGGCCTTCCTTCAGCATGGCAGGGAGCACACATCATGTTTTGTGGCGTTCCCTTGCCCCTGAGTCCCAGGTGGTGCGAGTTGGGTCCCGATGGCAGCTGTGCCGTATAGGTTTGTATCTCCGCCGAGGACCCTCGAGTCTGGGGAACACCGTGTTGCTCAGCAGAGGGCAAGTCGCTCCCGTCCCTCCGTCGCTCCCCGTCCCTCAGTCAATCCCCGTCCCTCAGTCTCTCCCCGTCCCTCCGTCGCTCCCCGTCCCTCCGTCGCTCCCCGTCCC